AAAAAAAAAAAAAAAAAAATCAAGGGGTAAAGTGTATGTTTCTATGTTGTTGGGGCAAATGTGAACCCTGTATTTGAGGAACATGAACATTCTGTCCCCTAGAAAACAAGCAAAAAAAACCCCAAAAAAGAAAAAGAGAGTTCACTAGGTTGTCTCACATGAAATAAAATTTCTCAGCAACCAAACAATTTGAGAATAGTGTTAAGAAGTGTTGTTCACTGTCTCAAAGATTCTTAATTCTTGCATTATACAAATATCCCACTGTGTAAAATAATCTAGATTCCACTGTAAATTTTAAAATTGTCTTTCAAAAGTACATCAGTAACATATTAATTTAGATAGCATTAGTCCCTCTGGTCTGGCCCCCTCTGAGCAAGCTGAATATTCGAATTATAGACATTCAATCTGAAAACAGATTCCTGCACTGCAGCCCAGCGTGGGGTCTGATCTAGAGCACCTATGTCAATATCTAACAGCTCCATACAAATGTCACAGCAAACTTGCATGCAGAAAGATATAACCAAGTACTAATTTTTTGTCATAAATTCATCCAAGGTTCAAACTTAAAGAACCAATTACACTGTCTCCAATATAATATAAGTATAGGCCAGGTCTCAGCCTTAGTTGAGGCTACTCACATTTGGGCTAAATAATTCTTGGTTTCAATGCACAGGGTTTTCCAGTGAATTGTAAAGAGTTCAGCAGCTTCCCTGGCCTCTACGCATTAGATAGATGATGGTGGCATGCCTGAACTGTGGCAACAAACAACGTCTCCGGACATGCCAAAATGTACCCTGTGGAACAAAAGTAACCCTAGTTGAGAACCACTGATCTATGTTAAACATTGAGACTACAGAATCAGGCTTCCTGGGTTTAAATCCTCACTCCACCTTTTACCAGCTCTTACTTTACTCTTACAAATAAGTTACCTAATTTGCCTGTACATCCATTTCCTCATCTGTACAATGCAGATTTTAATAACACCTACCTCAAATGTATCTTGTGAAGATTAAATAAGTTGATATGTAAAGCCCTTAAATCTGTCCATGATATAAGTAAGTGATTAACACATTTGAATTCTTACTATTATGATTTGATTCATATAACCATTCACTACTTGCAAAACTATTTCATAAACATATTCTCTCATTTGATTGTTACAGCCACTTTGTCTGTCAGTGTGTGTGGGAAGGTTAGGGCTGTTACGTGTCCTGAAGATCTATGTTGGGTAACGTATGCTTTATTTTTATTTCTATTTTCCAGTTAAGGAAATTGTAGCATAGAGAAAATAAATACGATTGCTGGAAATCACACATGCGTAACATACAATTTACCACTGTTAACTATTTTTTAGTGTACAGATCAGTAGCGTTAACCTGCTGTACAACCACCACCACCATCCACCTGTGAGCTTTCATCATCCCAAGAGAAAATCCATACTCGTTAAACAATAACTCCCCATTCCTTTTCTCCTCATCCACTAGTAACCACCATATGGCTTTCTGTCTTTCTCTGTGTATTTGACTACTCTAGGTACGTCATATTGAAGAGGGAAGAGAAAATTAACAAAACAACATGATATAAAATTAAAATAACTCTAGCAAGCAGAAAAATGGTTTGTAAGAAGGCCCCCCTGGAGCCTAAGTTAAGGAGAAATGGTAAGTGCCTCTCTTCCCTTCTGCAGAACTTTAACCTTATGTGTGCTCAACATCCCTTAAAAGTTCTGTAAGTCCGTGTTTTCCTGGTGGAACGGCTGCAAGGCCACCGCGCAGATAAGCTAGGTTGCAAACATGTTTTTCAAGATGTAAGACGTGCCACAAGACATGGCAGGGATGATTAACTCCCTGTGCACCCATTTCTGTAAAATGTACTTCCTTCCTGCTTTGTATTTTCGCCCCCTGAGGAGCATAAAAGAAAGTCTGTCTGCTTTGTCTAACGCTCAGCCACTTTGGACACGAGTTCGAGCTAGGCCAGTGTACACCTAAAATAAATCTTCCTGCAACCTCAATCATCTCTCCAGACTCTGAATCCCGCTACAATATAAATGCAGTCATACAATATTTATACGTTTGCGTCCGGCTTATTTCACCTAGCATAATGTCTTTAAGGTTCATCTATCTAGGAGTATGTGTCAGAATTTTATTTCTTTCTGAGGCTGAATAATATTCCATTGTATGTATATATACGTATATCATATTTTGTTCATCCGTTTATCTGTTGAACACTGGGGTTGTTTCCACTTCTTGGCTATTGGAAGTTGCTATAGGCTGAATGTGTTCCTTCAAAATTCATATTATGAAATCCTATCCCCCAGTGTGGTGGTTTTAGGAAGTGAGACCTTTGGGAGTTGATTAGGTCATGAGGGCTCTGCCATGAGATTAGTGCCCTTGTACAAGATAACATGGAGCGTTCCCTTCCTCCTTCTGCCTCTTGATGTGACAGTAAAATGGCAGCCATCTGTAAACCAGGAAGCCAGCTCTTACGACAAGGAACCCGCTAGTCCCTTGATCTTGGATCTTGTGAGAAATAAGTTTATGTCATTTATAAACAACCTGGTCAATGGTAATTTGTTACAGCAGCAGACAAAGAAGCCATACCACTTTAAAGCTGAGATTTCAGACTCCTGGCCTAACGCTCTATTCAGTATTATCACAAAAGGAACTGAAGGTTTTATATACTAAAATCTCCCCCAAACTCAAGAGATTTTCAGCAAAATGATCATCATGAGTAAAATAATTCGCCACCTGAAATATTGATGCTGAGCTTCTGTGAATAAATGAATCAAATAGTTAAGCTGGGTTCATTCAGACTTTATCTAAGTTTCCTTAACCTTATCTCTACATTCTCCTTTTCCCTAGTTTAAAAAAAGGAAACAATTTATAGAAAGATAACAACAGATCATTAGCTGATGCAATATCTCCAGAATTATTTTTCTTTTCTTCTTCTTTTTTTTTTTTTTTTTTAGACCAGGCCTTGTTCTGTTGCCTAGGCTGGAGTGCAGTGACACAATCACAGCTCACTGCACCATGAACTCCTGGACTCAAGCAATCGTCCTGCCTCAGCCTCCCAGGTAGCTGGGACTACAGACACGTACCATGAAATCCAGCTAATTTTTTTCTATAACTCTTTTTTTTAGAGACTGGGTCTTGCTATGTTGCCCAGGCTGGTCTCCAACTCCTGGGCTCAAGCAATCCTCTGCCTCAGCCTCCCAAAGTGCTGGGATTACAGGTTTGAGCCACTGCACCTGGCCTCCAGAATTGTTTCTAGAGGTGAAACTTCAAGGTGAAATATAGTACATAACTGCTTTTCAGATTTAAAAAAAAAAAAAAAGTCCAGAGAGCACATTCTCTTGCATTCTCTTGACCTGAGCTAAGCTACTGCTAGCACTTGGCATCGCTACAAAAACTCAAAACTCAAGGTGTTTCCAATCCATTAGAGCATATGAACAAAGCCTGCTTCCAAAGCTAGCTTCCATCTGGCAATCCCATTAACACCTGGGCACAGCTCTTCCCTGGAGCTTTGTGCAGAGAGTATCTCCTCTCTAGGACTATACAAGGACTGAACAAGAAGGAGAAGGACAGAGCAGAGCCATGAACATTGTCCTGGAAATCCTGCTTCTGATGACCATCATCTAATACTACTTGGAGTCGTTGGTGAAGTTTTTCATTCCTCGGAGGAGAAAATCTGTGGCTGGGGAGATTGTTCTCATTACCGGAGCTGGGCACGGAATAGGCAGGCAGACTGCCTATGAGATTGCTAAACGACAGAGCAGACTGGTTCTTTGGTATATTAATAAGGTAATGTATATATCTTCCAACCTTTTGAAGCCACAGAGTAAGACGTGTATTTTAAGAATTATTTGACTTACCATCTGCTTATCTTTGTATTTTTGTTTTTCAGAAATTCAAATGAACTTTCTGGAAGATAGCAAGAATTTACAAATAGAGAAAATTGTTGCCTGCTGTTCTCAGGCATTTGTCCAAAAATATAAATAAGTATAAATCCATGAAAAGGATTTGATGAAATCCAACATTCGACTCTCTTTCCAGATATATATTTTTGGGGAAAGAACTATGTTTATTAAGTTTTTTTTTTTTAATTTTAAAATTTCCAGTGACAAGAGAAAAGTAAATTAGAAGGAAGTTGTATTAAAAATGACAAGGCCAGGGTCAGGGGCTCACCCCTGTAATCCCAGCACTTTGGGAGACCAAGGTGGGCAGATTGCTGGAGCCCAGGAGTTTGAGACAAGCCAGGGCAACATAGCAAAAACCCTGTCTCTACAAAAAATACAAAAATTAGCTGAGTATGTTGGTGCGCACCCGTAGTCCCAGCTACTCGGGAGGCTGAGTGGGAGGATCGTTTCAGTTCAGGAAGCCGAGGTTGCAGTGAGATATGATGGCACCACTGCACTCCAATCTGGGCGATAGAGCCAGGCCCTGTCTCAAAAAAAAAAAAGGACTTAAGAAGAATGGGTAACCCAACCTCAAAAATTCTCTTTGAATTATTACATTTTATGGTTAAACACTTACGTTACTGAATGATCCACCCCACGGCTGTAATGTAATTCATATCTCCTTTGCTGAGGAAGATGCTATGTGAGTTTTTCCCATAACTGTCTCCTTTTGCCCTGTGAGATGATAGACACTGTAGCAGTTTGGCTCTTATGCAATCTAAACGCTTTGGGAAAGCAGTTCAAAAAACACACTGGCGTTTAAGCTAAAGCAAGTGTTTTGCTAACGAAAAGACAAGGCATTACATTTTGCAATTGTCTAGCTCAGTTACAAAACGGAAGAATTATTAATTATTCAGTCAAAACATCTGATGAATGCTCTGGTTACTGATGCTCTCTACTAACCTAGAAACAAATAAGAGAGTATGTTGTAGTTTGGGCAGTCTGGCAGTGAGCAAGCTACCAGCTGCAGCCTAAGTCAGGGAAAGACTCTCCTCCTGTTTTTACATTTCTGTAGTCCCACAAAAGGCTAATTGAGGGGATACTGCCTTTGGGACTGGGTCCTAACATCTATGTTTGGGGATTTCAGGCTGCTGCCCCAGGGATTAGCCTACAGTAGTGAAATACAAAGGACCCAGAGACACTCACTGGAGGATTGCCCTAAGTAGCAGTCACACCACTGTCATCCCAATACGCAAAGAAAGGGGCTTTTCAGGTATCCTTGCTTCTTCACCACTGAGAAGAGTTTACAGATTGTGACATGGAAAAGTATAATTTTTAAAACCTTATACTCTTCTCTATGAAAGTCACCTGATGTCAAAATTTGAAAAGAATTCTAATTTTCCAGAAATGTGAGTCAAGAAACATTGGGCTTCTTAGAAAGAAGTCTTTGAATTTAGACTGAAAGTAAGTTGCTCTGTCTCCATGTCCAGTGATTATGTGCAAGGCTGGTACATAAATGAGAAATCCATCCAGTGGCCCTTGGCCATCTCACTCCCAAACACCTGAAGAATGTAATATTATATCTCCTATAGTAGCAGCATGGTCTCCCTGTGACAGTCCTTGTTCAATAAGGAGCCTTCTTTCCCCTTCCCTTCTAGAAGGATGAGTCAGAATCATCGAGAAAAGTATGATGGGCAGAGGCATATAGTTTACCATTACCACTAGTTTAGAATTGCTGCTTAGCACTTTACTGTCTATTACATAGTTGTGCTCAACAAATGTATGATAGATTAATCGTTGAGTTTCCTCTTCTCCATATTTATTTTCCATGACACCATGAAGAGCAAGGTTTTCCAAGATGTTCTTCAGGCTTTGAAAGCAGCCTGCTTTAGAAAAACTGCCTACTGTGCGGCCTCCAACCAAGATGGAAAGCTGGAAAAACACGAAGGGATTTCATTTTGTTTTGTTTGCTTTGGTTTTAATACGAACATTCCCTGACGGAAAAGCCAAACGTAATGTCATTGCAACTAGGCAATCAGTCTCTCTCAAGAATTTTTCTAACAAATGAGGAGGCCAATTTTTATTTTATTTTATTTATTTATTTTTGAGACAAAGTCCCACTCTGTTGCCCAGGCTGGAGTTCAATGGCATGATCCTGGCTCACTACAACCTCTGCCTTTCAGGTTCAAGTGATTCTCCTCTCTATGTTTCCCAAGTAGCTGGGATTACAGGTGCCTGCCACCACGCCTGGCTAATTTTCTGTATTTTTAGCAGAGACAGGGTTTCATCATGTTGGCCAGGCTGGTCTCAAACTCCTGACCTTAAGTGATGCACCTACCTTGGCCTCCCAAAGTGCTGGATTACAGGATTACACCATGTCCAGCCCAGGAGGCCAATTTTTAAAAGATTGTTCATTTCTTTTGAACATGAATGTTAATTTTTTTTTTTTTT